GTTGAACATGTTGAAGGGTGTCAGTGTTTTAACTGAATGGTATTTATTTCCTGAAACTGTGTCCGTTAAAACTTTTGTTCTATGAGACATTATAAGAATAGAGTTTTGCTTCCATCTCTCAAAATTATGTGAATTTGAATTTGATTATTGTTTGTTATCTTCATATTTCATTTAAAGTCTCTTCCATTTTTTTCTTTAAGCATTTTAACCTCAATGTGTCAAACTATACCAGATTTCTTATTTTTTTATTGGTCCCATCAGGATAGAAATACAATGTAACAAGGTTTGCCTGTACCATTAAAATGCAGGTCCTCCAAAAAAAAAAATAATAATAATAACCTTTGAGATAAAGTGGTGGCTACATGTACATTCATTTTTTTTTTCAATTTTATAGAAAAAATCTTAGAGGTTTCTACAAGAATATTATGGTATTTATGGATCAATACCAAGGTTTACCCCCCACCCCACCCCCTTATCTCTTCCTTATACAAGTGCAACCAACAACCTAAGTCTAATTGAGCATATGAAAAACTTTCATAAAATGAACATTCAATTAACAAGAATAGATATGGGTTACCCCATATCCAAGATATTCGACTTTTAATTTATTCGAATTTTCATTGTGCTCAGATGATTTCTAATAAAAAAAACAAGTATTTACTGACAAAACGTCAGAGATACTCAAGCTGTAGAAAGTCATAATAAAAGTGCCATAAATATCCTAAAACGACAAAATATTTAGGCTACTGAGTTTCAACATCTTTTGTTGAATAAAATATGCATGTACTAGGAAACAAACTGCATGTTCATATATATCGGTAGATGTAGATGCATGTAGTGACTATCACAAAGTCGCTAAAAATAGTTTTAATTTCACATAGAACATAGACTAAATATAATTAATCGTATAATTTTAAAAATGTATTTAACACCTTCATTTTCAGGAATATTTAAACCAAATAGCATGTTACAGGCCTGTAGCAACGTTTTCAAAGTGAAGGGGGGGGGGCTCCGAAAAAAATCCCGCGTACTATATGGGCCTGTGCTACATGTGTACCATCTAACTTTCCAATGATATAATCTTCTGTAAAAAAAAATTCAAATCAAGTTCAAGCCGTTATGGATTATGAAAGATAGCCCATTTTTTTATAAATAGCAAAACTATAGATCTATCAAGGATAGATTTTAATTTATTTTTTTAATTTTGTGCTATTAAATTACTATCATCCATAGGCAGATGTTAAAGATAGTCAACATGTCACCTTTTAGAACGAATGAACTTGTAATCAATGAACTTGTCCAGAGATGCATTGACGGCCGTTGTTAAACGCAAAGGAAAGCGCGAGATCGGTTGCGGCTATGGAGCATCACTGAATATTCCTTCGTCATAGGATAGAATCCGACATTTAACACTTAATATAGATTTTGAATATACAGATGTTTTGAAGATAAACTTAGTATATTTTCGTGTTTTTAAACTGAGCAGATCGATGACCTAGTCTCGTTTTAGACAACTCAGCCCCTCTAGCCCAATTTAGGGCTTGAGTAAAAAAACCTGCACTTCTTATGAAACTGGTGTATAGTTCTAAACTTCTTCATTTCCGTAGCAAATACTGATACCCAGTCTACGTGATCTAAGCGTCTCTAGCAAACGGTGCACACACCTGTGCTTGCAAGACCAAATAGCCTAGGTCTACACAAGTGCGAAGATCCTTTCAGACGAGCTCGGAACATTACGTTGCTTTACCGAGAGGTTACGATTGCAGGTGTTTAACCATAATAACCATTCCGTTATTCATTAAAAGAGAGAAAAAAAAAACACAGTTAATGATTAACATATCCATTCAAAAGAAATTATAAGGCAATGAACGAACAATAATAATGACAGTAATATAACTGGTGAAAAGATTTATCATTATCAATCGAAGTATGACCTATATATTTTCGGGAAAAAGACTGAGGAGGCAGCGAGCGTAGGAATATGAAAACTTTTTATTTGCTTTTCCGGGGAAAAGATGATTTTCTTAAAATCTTTTTACGTTAATTTTGTTTTCTTTAACGTATTAAATATACATCATTATTCTTAACATTTGTTGTAATCTTGTATCTACTGATCATGAATGGAACTATTTTCGTCGGAGCAATTGTGTGAAGAGTACCTGACTTTAGTAATATATCTTGAATAGATAATATGCACTGATCGAATATATTAAAAATAAACATGCTTGGTAGCATTTGATTCAGCATGCTCAATGGTAACTTAAGATCAGGTAAGACCCCCTTATTATACTCCCTTTTTGATGAAACCAATGCCGTTGCAGAAATTCAAGTTTTCAATCTTAACCATTTCAACTAGAGAATATTAATTATTAATACTTTATGCAATTTTCATCTTTAAAAAAACCTATTTTTCAATTTTGCTGCAGTCTCTTCATTTGATGAACATTGAACAATTTACATATCAAGCAATAAGCAAATTAAGTTGACATCCTTGAAAATTTTTATCGTTTAATTTACTTTTCCCCATGAGAACTACATATACTGCACTAATCTGCAAATCAGAAGGACCAAGTCCAAAATGATGGTTTGTATACATAGTACAAACTTATGTGAAAATTATTTATATAAATAATCAATAATACTTGCATCTCTTTTACAAAAATCAAAACAAAAAAGCAATAAAATTTGAATATCAAAATTTTGATTTACAAATAACACATCTGATTTACCATATATGTGTACTACGTAGAGCCACTTCACTTAGCCGTCATTGGACATTTAACTTGGTGTGTCTGAGGCTCAATGAAGGATCTTACACAAAAATCGCTCATTAATGAAAACAAAATTCAGTTCTTTACTCTACTCATAATATTTGAAACCCTGTTTTTGACTGAACTATATTTTTATACAATGACGAACACTTTTAGTATTTTGAAACATAGTAACATTTATTAGAGGAACCTTAAATATTGCCCGCTACCAAATTGTGGTCTGCAAGAAACACGTGGAAATTCTCAGATCCTTTGTATAACGTTTAACCTTTTTAAGATTGATGTCCATTAGATCGCAGGCGTTGTCATACTCAAAATGTATTACTGATACTAGGAGTTATATCGTATTTCTGAGATAAGGCTCATAAATCACAATAAACACAACAAATCGACTTACCAGCTCCTACTTTCACTTTAGCCGAATATCGCATGACAGACCTCAGAAATAAACTACGCTGAGTGATTATAGTTCTTAATTTTCGTGCAATATTTTTCAATATTATATGACATTGTCCTACATTTGTAGGATTAATATGCTTATTTGATAAAAAGTAATTAACAGCCTTACCTGCAAAAGAAATAACAGACGTTAAATTCAGTCGGAACTGCTAAAACTGGGCGCGTATTAATTTATCTGTCCATGTAAAATCGAAGACGGAGCATTCCCTGATATGACGTAAACATCGATGTTACTTTTATAATAAACAATATTAAACATTTAGATCGAAACATTCTAATAGCTGGAGATGTTTAACGAAATATCTCTCTAATTGCTTTGTGTAATCGAGGTACTAGAGACATCAGATTACAGAAATAGTCAGTTGGTTTCAATACCGGAATGGCAGCCCCCCGATTTCGCATGGCGGACATGCCTAGTTGATGAAAAACAGACAGTTATGGAAAAAGTACGCACAGTATTGTTAGGAACGAAACAAATAGTTGTACCCATGACGTTCAACTATCTGCACATATACAACAAATGTCATGTTATTGTTTTGTTAGACCTGTAGCTGTGCAGTCCTGCAAGTGTAATATGCACACTATTGCTGCAAGGGTATCGGGTGGTTACGTTCCGATTCCGTGTTCGACCCGCGTGGTTACGACCCAAGTGGGTTCGACCTACTCTAGATCTCATGTCAATAGCTGAGTACAGGGGTACACACTGTGCGGTAAACAAATGGATATTCGGTAGCTGTATATTGCATGGCTTCAGAAATGTACGTGTCAATAGGTCGTTGTTTCCTTATGTGTAGTCAACATGCAGTCAGATGGCTTCCTTACATTTTTTTTCTACTATCGCGGAGCATGGATGTTATTAATTTGATTTAGTAATGAATTATATTTGAACAGTTTTCCATAAAAATTAATCAAATACTTCTTCAAATGTACCGTGATCACATTTGCACTATCTAAACAATGTACGTTGCTCTAAATTAAATTACACACGATAATTAACACTATTTAAATGATTAAAATATACTTAGTCGATATAAAAAAAATGTAGACGAAAAAATAAAATGTAAAACTTTTGAAAGTGTTAACTAATTTCGTTCCGAAGCAAATAATTGTTAATTGAAAGCTAATAATTGTTAATTGCTTTGGAACGAAACCACTCGGGTCGAACATGGATTCGTGTCGAAACCACGCGGGTCGAACAAGTAATCGGAACGTAACCACCCGCATTCGCTGCAAGACACTGCAAGTGACAACCAAACTGCATACATGTCAAGACAGCTTTCACATGGAAGATGTCATAGGTCAGTTTTCAAGAGTAAGCAAGAAGTATTTATTAAGATATAGAGATTTTTATTTCATACGAGTTTCACTTGGATGAACACAAAACCAAACCCTTAAATCGAAAACAGAGATTAGTGGTAATATGGCGGGACCTGTGGTGTAGACGGCTTAGTGTCATACATGAAAATGCGAAAACAAGGGACATTGATATGAAGAATAATAAATACTTGTTGTTTATTCTTTAAAACACAGAGTAATAGGTAATGAAGTTGGAATAAATGCAAAATACGTTTCATTTGTTTAAATGACAGAAAATTCTCCTTTGTTCTATTTCAATGCTATTTTTCCCAATTGAACCGGTACTGGACCCTTTCCCAATGGGTAGAAAAAAATCGCTGTAATTAATTAATTTATGCAAAAAAAGCAAGGAGAAATGAGTTGATTTTGACTGTTTGACAACTACATGTATTAAGGAATCACTGTCATTTCCAGGATCCAGTTCTACCGAGACTGAGGATGATCATGTGTACACAGATGGCTGTTGTCGTAATAATGGCCAGAAGGGTTCCGTGGCTGGTATAGGAGTTTACTGGGGACCAGATCATCCATGGTTAGTCTGCTAGCTTTTTGGTGTTTTCAGTAATTTGCATAATGAACCAGCTCATTTCTTAACTTAAACAGTTTGAGTTCCTTTATTCAAAGAATTATTATAAGGGCCACAATGATTTGTTGGAGCATTAACAGTATTAAATATCATTCTGTCATTTAGGATACATCTCTGCATTTCTTAATTACGGTAGATGTTTCATTTTCTTTTTCCTTTATTTTGAATTTCCTGAGTGACTCAGGTGACCTATTGCACCGTGTGCGTTGTGCGTAAACTTTTCGCATTTTCAACTTCTTTTCAAGAACCACTGGGCCAATTTCCACCAAACTTGCCACAAAGTATCCTTAGGTAATGGTGATTCAAGTTTGTCAAATGAAGGGCCAAGCCTTCTTCCAAGGGGAGATAATTAAGAATTAGTGAAAAATTAATGGTATCTTTTAAAAATCTTCTTCTCAAGAACCACTGGACCAGGTAAGATGAAACTTACATGAAAACATCCTCAGGTAGTGAAGACTCCAGTTTCTTAAAATCGTAACTCCAGGCCCAGGGGTAGTGTGGGGCCACAATGGACTATCAAAGTTTTACATAGAAACACATAAGAAAAAATCTTTTAAAATTTTCTTCTCCAGAACCACTGGGCCAAGAAGGTTGAAACTTTTGTGGAAACATCCTCAGGTAGTGTAGATTCAAGCTTGTTCAAAGCATGGCCCCCAGGGGTAGGCCAGGGCCACAATGGATGATCAAAGTTTTACATGGGAATACATTGGAAAAATCTTCTTCTCCAGAACCACTGGGCCAAGAAAGATGAAACCTGTGTGGAAACATCTTCAGGTAGTATAGATTCAAGTTTGTTAAAATCATGATCCCCAGGGGTAGGATGGGGCCACAATGGACAATGAAAGTTTTACAATGGAATATGTAGGAAAAATCTTGAAAAAAAAATTTTTTCTCAAGAACAGCAAAGCCATGATTGGTTATATTTACACGGAAACTAGATAGTATACACTTATCCACTGGCTGTGAGTGGGATAGCTCTTTTATCAAACCCGCGACAGGAACTATTCCCTGAGGGCTTGCCCGAGGGGAATAGTTCCTGTCAAGGGTTTGATGAAAGAGCTATCCCACTCACAGCCAGTGGATAAGCGTTTTATTATACTGATGTATATCATAATTTCTAAGGGTTGGATTTACCTGATACTACAGTTCGATAGTAAAAACATGAAAAAAAATAATTATAAAAGTTTTAAACAAGTATTTGGAATAAGATAACACTGCTAGAATGAGCTGAAATCCTGATGACGTCACAATGCTACTGAAGTTAGGATGACATCATAAGTCTATAGATTGATTACAGGAAATCAAACTTGGCGGCAAAAATTGCATGAAAATTTTCCGAGGGGTGGATAGCAAAAACTATACCCCGGGGTATAGCTTTGCTATGTGTGGAAATTTTGAGACTATAAAGATAGTTAGTTTACCTTCTTAACTTTATGTAGGAAACATTTTAACAGAAGTATAATAAAACGTTCTATCATTAAAATGATGTTGTCCTACGGGCCCGGTTTAACGATAGAATTCATTCTGTGTATTGGCAATGTTGCAAAATAACTCGAACTCTGTGCATTTTCTATGAACAATCCAGAGAGTTCCGAATGTCAACATGGCATTAAATTTGAAGCGAGGAAAAAAACGTTGAGAAAATGAGTTGAATTTCCGTATTTATATGGATTATTTTTTAGGTTAAAAGGCATATACAATCTCAAAAAGGTTTGTTATGATTAATTTGGTAGTTATTTTCTGTGCAACTCCTTTTGTATTCTTCAAAATCAATTTGAAGTGGATCCACTCCGATTTGCTACATTGCAAGTATATGGGACGTATTCTAACTGTGGTGAGGGTTTGTCCCGAGACACAGATTATTCTAGCTACATGGAAACATCCTCAGGTAGTATAGATTCAAGTTTGTTCACATCATGACTGTGGGGATAGGGTGGGGCCACAGTGGACGATCAAAGATTTACAAAAGCTTCTATCAGTTTATTTTATACTCTATGGATCCTCTATGGATTGTTGTTTTATACTCAGGTGACCGTTAAGGCCCTTGGGCCTCTTGTTTATTTTTTTTCTCTATCAAGTTATCACACTCTCCTCAGTTTAATCACAACTTTCAATGCATAACTCCCATTGCAGGTCCCTTTCTTAGAGTCAGTTTTCTATTCTTCTAGTTTATATAATGGTTTGTTTCAGTAATGTGAGTGAGAAATTGCCAGGAAGGCCAACAAACAACAGAGCAGAAATACATGTGAGTTATTGTTTTTGTTCATTGTTTTTGTCCCAGTATTAGGCCTAGATGTTTCTGGTTCCCTGACCAACCCTAAATAACATGAGCTAACCCTGAAAATTTTTCTGATGACGTATACTCTCTGGAAGACGACAAATCTAGTTTCACTATTAGCATGATAAGAAGTCCTTATCTCGGTTTTTTCCTTGTTTAAGAAAACACATATCCTGTACTCTCCAGCATTTTCATGGGGAAAATAGCATCATAAGTGGCTCCTTGGGGGAAATACACATTTAACAAAATAAACATTTTTTCATATACTTTGCACAATATATAACAAATATAAATAATTTCTTTTGTGTCAACAAGACAAATTCCCCTTGTCCCCTGGGTGCAATGTTGTTTCAAGGAGCATTTTGATGAGAGGCAAATTGCAATCTGTCAAATTAGAGATCAGTTGATGAGTTTAGTGTGAGGAGATTTCTGGTACAACATCATGATAAAGCAGATGTTATCTATATCTCTGGTGAATTTGGCAGAGGAATCTGGCACTAAATTGCAATTGATAGCATCTGTCAAATTAAAATATTTCTAATTGGCTAGCTATTACTTTCAAAATGAATTTGAAAGGAAAGTTTTAAAATGTATTTGCAGATAGTCCTTATATAATCTATACAAATGCAAACCATTCAAAACAATTAATGCTTTGAAATCTGCTCCTTGGTATTAATCAAACATTTATGATGAGCAAGGGTGCCATTTCCAAAATTGTGAAATGTGTGGCCCCAGGGTCAGGGGTTCCTAAGGGTTGGGGGCACTACTGATTATTGCTGATATTTACTGATTAATTGAAATGCATTTTTTCTTTGTTCCCCTACTCTGCCTCTGTGTATTAAGTAATCAAATTTAAAGCATGCTACGTGTATAGTTATGATGAGCAATGGTGCCTCTTTCAAAATTGTGAATTTCATGGCCTCTGGTTTAAAACACGAACCAAATTCAATTGTTGGAAAGTTGTTACATGATACTCATGCCCTGTTCACATGGAGAGCTTAATTCGAATTAAACGTAAGTTACTGCGAATTAAATTTTATCCGCGTTCTCACAGAGAATTTCATGCGAATTAGTTTAATTCGAATTAGTTTACTGCACATTAAATTACTTCGCATTAGGTCCGTGTGAACGCTAAGCGAAGCTAATTCGAATTAAATTTTGACGCATGCGTAAGGGCAGAATTAAGTCACAGGCCACATGTTGATGGTCAAATACAGGTACTTGTGCTATTTTTTAGTGGAAAACAAAGGAAAATTATGTTAATCACTAAAATGTGTACAGACACTATGTCAAATGTAAATCTGCTCTGCACAGTATGACGTGATTTGTAAATGACGTCATAATAACCTTGTTGTAGAAATCAAATTATAATTTGCATTAGTTTACTTCGCATTAGCTGTCGTGTGAACGCAATTTAATTTGCATTAGTTTAATTCGCATCATTTTACTTCGCATTAATTTACTGCAAATTAAACTTTCCGTGTGAACAGGGCATCAGGTGACCTATAAGGCTAATGGGCCTCTTGATATTTTAGGCCTTGTATAATATCTGACTGCTTGTTCACTTAATTAGTAGTAAATTTACAGTGATCTATGTTGTATGTGACAATTACTCAGTGGATTACACACACTATTACATGATATTAATGAAATTAGTCCTTAAGGTCAGACGATACGTTCCTCAAATGTCTGTTTTGTATACCTTCGAATTATTTGGAAAATATTCAAAATTTTAATTACCTTCTGATTTCTAAACTGGTTTCTAATTGTCTTTAAAAAAATGAAACACCAAAAAAATGTGTTATTGGCTAATTAAGTTTTTCCCAAAGGGATTTTATAGGAAAAACATCCTCTGGTATCTTGCACAAATGCCTGGTAAGGTGCCTCAATTTTTTGGGAGTAAACATGTTAAAGTAGCAATACTTCAATGACAAAATCTTAGAAAAAATTATATATTATTGAGGAACGTATCGTCTGTCCTTAAAGCTAAGAAAAGTGTCCAGAAAAAGGGGGCTGGATTTAGTTCCTGTGTAATAAACCCATCCCCTACTTCTGAACAATTTTCTGACGAAAAGCATGCAACTTTCCGGTATGTAATATGACTGGAAAACTGTAAATGCAGATAATTTAACTTGATCTGATTTGGTTAAAGTAATTAAGGAATAAATGAGAATTGTATACAATATGTAGTTAAGAATTTTATTATTTGTTCCTGTTGCAGGCAGCAAGAGTTGCTGTGAAACAAGCAAAAGAAAGGAAGATGAGAAGTGTTACTGTTGTGACAGATAGCCAGTTTCTCATCAATGGTAATTTATTTTAATGGTGGAAATCAGTGAAGAAAACTTTACCTTATAGGACTTAGTCTAAAACACTTCACATCCTGAAATGTTCCAAGATAAACTGAGATGATCTTTGCTATCCAAGGATGACAATCAACTCCTCTTCTCTTTTCAAAGAAGAAGAATAGAGGAGTGGGTCATCACCCTTGATTAGTGAAGATGGATGGAGATATAAAAGATTTTAGTAGTTAGTACTTTTATAGTATCAGTTATAACTGGCTTTCTTTCCAGAAGAAATATTTATACTCATAGAAAGCACAAAAATTGGAATAAAAGATAATTAGGGACTCTTAGGTCTAATATATAAGTATCTACACAGTAATATATGACAAGAAGATATATGTGTTCATGACTGGAATGGATGAATGAAACAAACATCAGAATCTAGGGAAGAAATATTGTTGATACAGATGTATATATAATATTGATGTAGACATAATTTCACTCATCAGTGAACAAGGCATGAGCAGATCCTTTTATTTTCTTCTTTGGGAAAAAAAAAATGGATGAAACTATCATTTTAGTACATGTACATGTAATTCTTTATTGATTTATTCAATGTCAGTACAACTACATTTACATTTCTTTTTAGCTCACCTCGACGAAGTCGAGATGAGCTTATGCTATACCCCCGGCGTTAGCGTCGGCGTCCCGGTTAAAGTTTTAGGAGCAAGTCCCATTCCCAAGTAACTATTAGCCCTACCTGGACCAAACTTTCATGGATGATGCATCTAGGGATGGACACTAACCAACCTGCTTCGGATGCTGGATCTGACCTAGATTTTATACATGAGTGAATTTTAGCCATATTTTAACCAAATTAGCATGGATGATGTATCTAGGGATGGACACTACCAGACTTGCTTTGGATTCTGAATCTGACCTACATTATCCAGATGAGTGACCAGGGTAATTTTTTTGGTGTAGCTATATAATATTATGACCTATTATGATTAAACTTGCATAGATGGTGCATCTAAGGATGAAAACTTCCAGACTTGCTTTGGATGTTGGAACTGACCAAAATTTTCTTGATTACTAAACAGGTTTAAAGTTTTTTTGAGCAGGTCTATTTCCAAGTAACTACAAGTCCTACTTAAATCAAACTTGCAGGATATTGATCTTGTGATGTTCCCTAACTAGAAAAAAAATATGATGTGAAATTTGCCTTACTTATAGATAACATTCGTCGAGGTGAGCTTCATAATATTTGATTACCTATGTTTAAGTTATTAGCTCACCTCGACGAAGTCGAGATGAGCTTATGCTATACCCCCGGCGTCGGCGTTAGCGTCGGCGTCCCGGTTAAAGTTTTAGGAGCAAGTCCCATTCCCAAGTAACTATTAACCTTACCTGGACCAAACTTGCATGGATGGTTCATCTAGGGATGGACACTACCACACTTGCTTCGGATGCTGGATCTGAGCTAGATTTTCCACATGTGAGACAAGGTTTAGATTTTGGAGCAGTCGCATTCCCAATTAACTATAAGCCCTACCTTGACCAAACTTTCATGGATGATGCATCTAGGGATGGACACTAACCAACCTGCTTCGGATGCTGGATCTGACCTAGATTTTATACATGAGTGAATTTTAGCCATATTTTAACCAAATTAGCATGGATGATGTATCTAGGGATGGACACTACCAGACTTGCTTTGGATTCTGAATCTGACCTACATTATCCAGATGAGTGACCAGGGTAATTTTTTTGGTGTAGCTATATAATATTATGACCTATTATGATTAAACTTGCATAGATGGTGCATCTAAGGATAAAAACTTCCAGACTTGCTTATGATGTTGGAACTGACCAAAATTTTCTTGATTACTAAACAGGTTTAAAGTTTTTTTGAGCAGGTCTATTTCCAAGTAACTACAAGTCCTACTTAAACCAAACTTGCAGGATATTGATCTTGGGATGTTCCCTAACTAGAAAAAAAATATGATGTGAAATTTGCCTTACTTATAGATAACATTCGTCGAGGTGAGCTTCGTAATCTTTGATTACCTATGTTTAAGTTATAAAGTTCATGCAACAATTCATTTAATCATTCAGTTAAATTTAAAAGATCCACATTTTTAGGAATGACATCTTGGATTCACAGTTGGAAGAAAAATGGATGGACATTGTCAGACAAATCCAAAGTAAAGAATGTAGAGGATTGGAAAGCATTAGATGCTGAGATGAAAGACATCAATGTCAAATTTGTAAGTAATTTGTATTCTGCTTACTTGATAAATGATACATATCTATCTTAATTATTTATGCTAGAATTAAATTTACGAAGTTTATTTGGGATAATTACTGGTGAGTTTTTGATTCTTGACAAAGCTAAAACATGGATCTTTTCACACACTGTTAACAGAAGCATGTACGAGGTCATACAGGGGTTGATGGAAATGAAGAGGCTGATAGGTTGGCCAATGAAGGAGCCATGAAAAATGCATCAAGGACTGGAAAATCGTGGTTCTAGTGATGCTGAAGGGAAATTTAAAAAGTCTATACAAAAACATGTGATTTGTAGGTCCAGATTGACTGAGCAATCGCTTTTCTATCTATTTGTGCCAAGTGCAGAATCTGATGCGTGATTCTATAACTCATAAGTCTGTATATATTACATTGCGGTGCTGATTGTTACATTGTTAATATGTTGTTAGAATGTATGTTTTAATTCATCTGTAGTTTAGATTTAGAACTTAGCTTACTCTTGCATAATGATGTCTGCAGTGTACATATTTTGAATCTGTTCAATTTATTGAATAAATTGTTTCCATCACATCGTTGATTACATGTCTCTGTGAGGGAGATATCTCATATAGCCTTTCTGTAATAGTTATGTTTCAAATCATCCACAAGGGTGCCACAAAAGGGGCGACAGGGCAGTAGTTGCCACCCCAATTATTTTGCAAAAAAAGAAGCACAAGTGCCTTAACGGTCACCTGAGTATGGGACAACCCTGAAAAAGATCCATAGAATGACAATTTGATAATTGGAATATCTAATTTTAAAGATTGCAATTAACTAAGTATTTATGAAGTACTCTCGCCAGTAACGGTCAGTTGCAATACTTCAAATTTAACATGATCAAGGTATTTTGAACAGCTACGCAAGTTGTAAAACGTTAAATAACTATAGAAAAATATTACGATGTGTGACAGTGAAAATCATGTAAAAATCTAAAACAACTCAATTTTTACATTTGTATTATTTCTATATTCCAAGAACTGAGAAACCCAGAGTTCTGGCATCTTCGCCAGCGAAGATGGAGTTCTGGTAGCCTGGCTTCGAATTCCTGGTCTGTTGTATCCCCCCCCCCTTTCTTAGATTTGCTGCACTGTTATGTCCTGGAAGTGAACTCAGTGGAGGAGCCTAAGTAGATGAAAACATTTGAGGAGGAAGTATTGTGGCGATCAGGCAGGATTATTCGCCAATTGCTTAGTGTGGGCTCGGGTTCAAGTCTGGTCTGTCACATTTTCTGCCTTCCTGTTACGATACGTATGCGATTTATCCCCTCGCAAAGAAATTGGAGGGGAAATAGTAACGCTCTTGTATGTGTGTGGGTGAGTGCGTGCGTAACGGAAGTTACGCAAGTAATTATTTTTACCCCACCTCTGTTGATTTTTCGATGAAATCCTGGCTTACGATTGGTTGAAGTCTGTCACGTGAAGGGGGTGTATTACTTATACCTAGTCGCTTGAAAATCAATACATGGTCGATACGGAGTTATCGTTCTTTTGTAACGTTCGAACAACTCGAGTTCACACGATTTGCCGAGTGTCTGTTGACAATGTTACAGTTAACTAATGTAAGTAACGAAGATGGAACCTTTTTCTCCCTTTACTGAAAGTCTTCAAAACTGTCAGTACGTTATTACAGCACGAAACACTCGCAAAACAACATTACGTCACACAACGTGACGTCATAATAGGCATTGTATGAGTGATGAAACATACATATAGTGAGAAAAACAATTTTACAAACCACAGACAATGCATAAATATTTTATCGGTGGGGTAAATTCGTTACATAGTTTTGTAGTGACAGGGTACGGGATGATACCTGGTTAGTAAATTCCATACCTGGCTCGGCTTCGCCTCGCCAGGTATGAAATTTACTAACCAGGTATCATCCCGTACCCTGTCACTAAAAAACTATGTAACTAATAATACCAGGATCTATGTGCTATTTTGCCCGGAGGGGGGGGGGGGGGGAGGCACTTTGCGTTGCCCTTATTCAATTTTTCTCAAATATAGGAAAGCATGCGATCACTATTATAACTTTTATTCAATCAAACATTATTATACCCCCCGCAAACGAAGTTTAGGGGGGGGGTATATTGGAATCAGCTTGTCCGTCTGTCTGTCTGTCCGTCTGTCTGTAGACGAGATTTTGTCCGGACCATTTCTTGGAAACTGTTGCAAGGATTTGTCTGAAAATTTGTACACTTATTCTTTGCCATATGAAGGTATGCACCTGGTATTTTCATCATGATTGGATAATTTTTTCGCATTTTACAGGTGTTTTTTTTTCATTTTTATTGTGTGGTTTTGTCTGGATCTGTTCCCAGAGACTATTGCATAGATTTGTATGAAAATTTGTACACTTATTATTTACCATATGAAGATGTGCACCTGGTATTTTCAACATTATTTGATAATTTTTCTGCATTTTTTTCATTTTTATTTACTTAGTCATTTCGGGTTCATGTCTAAGGTTTGAGACATAGAATCTAGCTAGAACATCTGTACAAAAATGTGAACTACAGCTTAAAACTACTCATTAGAACTAAAAAAAAAAATCACAAAGTATTAAAACAGTTTTTACATTACACAGCAGATAGTGTAAATGCATTTGTCCCTTGGGAGTAATGAGTGGACATGCATCCAGTTAAAGATTAATTAATGAGTTCAGTGTGGGAAGCTGTTAGGGCATCTCTGATTAAGCAGGTCTTATCTATATCTCCTGGGAACTGGGCAGAAAGAAATAAAAATCTCTGTTGTCTAAGTCTCTTAATTGTAATTTATGTCTGTCAAAATACATAGTTACCGGAACCAGCCTTTTATTTTTAAAATGAGTTTGATATAAAGGTATTAAGATCAATTTGATTTTGTATAATTAATTATGATATTTTTTTTTCAACAATCAATTTGCAGAGTGTCATGTCTCACAAAGATGAAAGATAGTTGCAAACTATTTTTTCAATGTAATAAAAAACACTATAATTACTAGTATTGATGTTTTATTAGGCTGCACCTTAGTGTCATTCATTAAAAAAAAATACATGTATAATAAGTAATTAAATTTTCACTCTAAATGTTTAAGCAAATTTTGAACACCTCTCACATCTAGAAAACATTAGTGATTTGATACCTTCTCTGAAAAACCCAGCGGGGGGTATTTGTCCCTTTTGGACAGTTCTAGTTTTAAGATGACAAATACCAGTGATGTGTCAGTATCTAAATGGCACTAAGTGTTGAATATAAAAAGGAGTCGCGTGCAGACACCGACATTTATATCGTGTATCGGCATTCCCCTCCTCAGTCCTGTATACTAGTACTCAAGTAAAGCCTTCTCATTTTAAACAGTTGTGCATATTTTTCTTTTAAATATTTAATAATAATATATGTACATAGAAATGCATTTATTTGTTTGGTCGTTATGATTTCTGAACAATATATGTTGCAGCAGATAACAGTTCGGAATGCTTTGGCTCCTCTGTTAAACTACAGCTTACCATAAGGCTTCTAATCAAAGCCTTATATTGGTTTTGTTTGAAATTTGGCCACTGATTTAATCTTATGTTCATATTATCATGAGCTGTTAATATAGCTTCTAGGTGCTGTAGAGGCAGTTCACTTCCAATTGCCTAAAAAAAAATACAAAAAGCATTACGGAAGGATTATTTTCAGAGAAGTTCGCTTTAAGTTGCATTATTAATAAAAGTGTCATTATAAAACAGTGAAGGGGGAATTGCCTAAAAAAAAATACAAAAAGCATTACGGAAGGATTATTTTCAGAGAAGTTCGCTTTAAGTTGCATTATTAATAAAAGTGTCATTATAAAACAGTGAAGGGGGAATCATCCTTCTTCAAGGTGAGACATTACAATTTTGCAATAAGACGTGGGAAAATATCGGTATATTGGAATAAAAACTCTAGCCGCCCATTCCTCTGTAAGCAAGTTATAGTTTCTTTAGAATCTCAATGCAAACATCGTCGACTTTTAGTTCTGTCATATTGTAATTTTTTAATTTACCGGGTGGTAGTACATACAAAAATTACAATATGACAACTAGTTGTCATATTGTAATTTTTGTATTATTGTAATTTTTAGTTGTCATATTGTAATTTTTGTATTTACTACCACCCGGTAAATTAAAAAATTACAATATGACAGTTGCTTAGTTAAGATCGACTATATGTACTAACCATTTGTAATATCTCTGGTGCGAGTTTTAAACCACCTTCAGATTTTAAGGTAAACGTAATCAGGAATTGTCCAAATAAAGTTTTTGAGAAAATGTCAAGTAAATCCATTACTGCACATTGTATGTCTCTAATCCCTAGAGATATTTTCTGCAATAGGCCTCGTAAGCAGTTGAGAACTGGTAAAAATACTTCCTGAAATTGAACGGTTAACATTCATTTTTTTTTAAAAAGTTAATGTTTTTGGTAAGTCTTTGATTAAATTGTAGATCTAATTGTAGATCTGAAATTCAAAATCATATGTAACTTACTGTGCAACAAAAACGATCGGAAGGTTTTAATTTGGGAATGCAGAAATTTCTTTACCTTTAAATGTTTCGCCTCTTCAAAGTCCTGCACATTGAAGACTGTTAAAACATGTAAACAGTCTGTAACGAGCTGAAATAAATTTAGGAAATGCAACAACCATGCACATCAAAATGAAAAAAGAAATAGAAATACTTCAAACCGGCATCAATAAAATTAATTTTACCGTTTTATCACATGTGAAACTTAAGTCCATGAGCTTATAATAGACGTCCAGGTGGTGAACCAGTGCAAGGAACATCCTCTGTTTCTGAATTGCTGTCCCACTTTTTGCAAGTTTCTGGAACTCGAGTACAATTGCCTTGATACACGCTCCTTTTCTTTTATCATCTAATTCTGGTAAATATTTTTATTGTAAATTTTCGCCAATTAGTAAGTGTGATTTTATACTATGCTTATAGTCAATGAATACTAGTTTATGTGTGTTCGAAGCAATTGTAATATGGACAATTGTATTCAACATTCAATCGAGGTAAATTTTATTTACTTTTAAACAGAACCGTATCGCCTATTACGCAAAGATTAAAGAGTTCTATAGTTTTCTATCAAAGACTGGTGAAGGTATACCTCCTGAGAGTCCTTCCAGGTTCTTCACAAGTGCATGAACACATTCTTCATAAAAAAACATACGACCATGAACTTTTCCATATCTGGAATTCATAAAATTGCTCATAAACTATAGAATTATTTTATTTAAAGACATTAAAGAGAGCATTAGGTTCTATTTTATGTACACTCGCCATGTCGGATCCACAGGTCTTACTTCGTGTGCACATATAGATAGCATTGACGAATTTTCTAAGAGCATCGCTCTCCCAAGCCCTCAACATCAAGCAGTTCAAGATTTCTATACTCACGCACGAAAGCAAGGTGTTCCTTGCGCAACTTTTGATCTGCCAAAGGAAAAAACAATAATTAACTATCAGAATGTTTGTCATGACGTCATGTCAGTGTTTTGTCATGTTGTAAATTTTGAATTTACCGGGTGGCAGTAAATACAAAATTTACAACATGACACATGACAGTTTACGCAGAAGAGGTTTTCAATTTTTACATTGTACAAACGACATAGCTACCAGAGGCACGCTCCGTATTTTATCTTTGAAAGACGACGGCAGGACAAGTTGACTGCAGTCACTAACCAACTGTAATAAATCTCTTTCTAGGAACTCTCTGCTCTCCAAATACATCAACTCTGTTATAAAACTGATGTAATCCATATTACTGTCTGAAAAAAGTACAACCAAGTATGTATGTAAAATGAAGTATCCCACCGGAAGTTGCATTCTGAATAAAACAGAAATAAAAATAAATATTGCGAGAAAAATTATTTTACGAAGCAACATCTTTGTATATTACCTTTGCTGGACAAACTTCACTCAGAATATTGATATTTATAAAGATGTATGTAACAATGTGAACATATATTACCTTCCTCTTCAGAAAATTTGGCGAGTTTGTCAGATATACTTTTGTATAAACTTTTCTGCATCTCTTGTGGGAAATTGGCGATGGATTTAATGATAGATTCCCATATAGTTATCTCTGAGGGGCACATATCTATCAGAGTGAGACAAAGGTCTGTGTAACCAATAAAATCACTTTCTTCTTTAATAGTATTTGAATTGTCTATTTGACTCAGTACTTTCGTTTGATAAATCATTCTTGAAATCTGCAAAGAAAAATACAAATGGTAATCTTAAATGGTTGTGATTATTTATATCTTTGTCAATACTACAGATAATATTTTTACAGTATTCATTTAAAATTTCAACTTTCAACCTAATTTAATCGTACCTGTTTGAAGTGGATCGGACTTACTTTTTGCTGCTTTACACCAAATTTACAAACTGAGTAAGTATTAAAGTCTGTGGGTGAAATGACTTTCTCCAACATTTTCTGTTAAAACAAGTACAAGTAAACAGTTAAAGAAAAATACAAACCAAGCTATAAATATAAAATATGCATATTTTCTCCTATGTTTCGGATTGAGTGAAATTCGTGAAAAACGGAGAGCTCCTTATTTAACAGCTTGCCATTTCACTTGTAAGCATTATCCATGCGAACGCAGTTTTGAAATCCAGATTTTTGACTATATAAGACACAATCCAAAGCCAAGTAAATTCTTCTTAACCATCCCAAGAAATCCCGTCCGATTTAGCTTTGAGCTGAATTCAATACAAGTGCTATTAACGCTAATCAACGATATTCCCCTAAGAGTGATTCGAGACAATTTATGGCAGAATCTTGTAGAGGTGGATCTAAAAAAAATACTTTTACAAATATTTTCCTCGGATGTCATTGATAATTATAGCATTTATTTCCTTTAATATGCTCAATATTATTTTGCTACCACGCGTTCTTCTACCTTTTTGCATGTGGAATTTATTTAAATTTTATTTAGAATTAATTAAATATATCTTGAAATTTAGCGATTTCTTTTTTATTATAGCCTTAAAATATTTTTAAATTTAAGGAGAATCTATAGTGTACAAGTCCCTCTAAGACATCGTGAGTTACCCCATACCCTGCATATTTAACTTACCCCTTGAGAAGAAGGTAAACATGGCCTATTTACACCCTTCCTACTACGCATTCAACGGCAATATTTCTCAATATTTGAAATTTTAATTCTTTTCCTCCAGACACTCCCCTTCCCATCTATGCCCTAAAATCAGCCCATTCCACCCCGTATACATCCGAAGACATATTTATGAAAAACCAGTGTTTTTATATGGCACTACTTGCGTGGTCAATGAAAAGGGGTAAAATTAGTAACCTGTGATACGCTTATACTTTCTAAAAAAAAATAAGGGTTACAAACTCAAACATGTATTTTAATTTCCTTTTTATTTTAATTTGTTTATCGTTTACTCGTTTATTTTCTATAATTATATGTTTCATTTTAAACTCGCTATTATTATTATTGAGCACGTAGGAAAATGAAATCACGCCCCCGCCCCCCCCCCCCCCTCCAATGAAAGGCCTTATATTGTTCTTTTAAAGCTTTAATTTTAAATCTGAAAAAATGTTGGATCCTTCCCTCCGCAGTGCTGCCATCATTTGTCTCGCATCACTCTCATGGGTAATATAAAGATTAGCGTTAATTGCGCTTTGATTGAATTCAATCTAAAGCAACACCGGAGAAAATCCACAAAATTTCTTCCCATGTACAGAAATAATAAAAATATACATGTATATAATGTCACAATTTCCATCTGAAATACTTGCCATTTGGACCAATCATTTTTCTCTTTCTCTCCCTTTGGTACCACATAAATAATTTTAAACATTTTTAATGAAATTTTATTTAGAGAATACAGTACTTCATTTTTCTGATAGATGCCCATATCCCGGATTCTCCATCAACTGATCTGAATGTCTCACGTAGCATAAACACGTTTGGAATATCTAAAAACTTCGCCGGGCATAATGAAGAAACATACAATACTACGGAAAATAATATTCTATATTATGAGTACAAGTTCTATATCGAATGAATAATAGGGGGCCTAGTAATCAGCATATCAGATGAAACCACAGGAGTCGGCAGTTTTATCCATAAAACAATGTAAACACTAACCAGTGAGCTACGCTCGCGAAGCTCACTGGTTAGTGTTTACATTGTTTTATGGATAAAACTGCCGACTCCTGTGATGAAACAAACGCCTGGCATGGCTCTTAACTTAGCTCTAACATACCAAGTACAATTTAAATTATTAAACACATATATAATTATAAAGGCCTAAATTAACATACCTTACGAGCACATATTGTCTCACTCATTTTTTTGATGACAGAAACACTGTTACAAAGTCGAGGAATATCAAATACTATACTTTCGAAATGAAATTATTCAAAACTTAATTTTCGCGCCAACAAAAAAAAATGAAGTCGGTAAAAGGTATGTCGTTTCTTCAGAAAGACTATTCTCTATATTACTTATTCCCATGTGCAACACAGTTAATTGATAAGAAATGTTTTATTTCTTTAATTTTTATTTTACGTGAGAGTTAGGTAAATCTTACACTGAGTCAATTAAAACAAATATTAAAACGTCTTCTTTGAAACTGATTTTTCGTTCGAGTTACTATTATAATGATCTATTTTTAACAATAACACGTGTTATGTCAACAAATAAAGGCTTAAACATTCAAGGTTTAAGAACATGACTCTGGAAGCAATTAAGTACAATAATGGAAAATTACAAATATTGGATCAGCTTCTTCTTCCTAACGAGACTAAATATATCGACATTTCTTCTGTAGATGACGGATGGAAGGCGATAAAACTCATGCAAGTAAGTAAAATCATAGTACCTTCTTATTTGGCGTTTAATTATAAGTGATAGTCAAATTATAGTCATTCAATATCAGTGTTTGACTATATTTTTATTCTCTTTTTTTCTCTCTCTCTCAAAAAAAAAAATAAATAAATAGAGGACATGAAAACGAGTTTGAAGTTTTGAATTTAAACCCATAAGTATGTTGAATGATATCTTTAAACTGCTTCTGTCATGAATATTGGAGTTGTTATTCTCTATTGAGAAGTTGATGGCTCGTTTAATACTCCCCCTCAAGGGGGGAGTATTAAACGAGCCATCAACTTCTCAATAGAGAATATTGGATTTGTATGCCTTGATTTAGGACCCTTCGCTAGCTCTCAAAGACATGAAGAAGGCGGGCTGATCGTAAACCCCTTTTTACTAGTGAAGATGATTCAAAACAGAGGCCCAACTCTGTTCAATGCGAAATTATTTTAGTAAGGGGCTCTAATATTTATGAATAATTCTATTAAGATAAAGCAGATATATAAATATATATAAGCCTTAATTAATATTTTTTTTATCAATAATGCAGTTCTGAAGAGTGTTCTGTATTTTTTTTTTGTTGTTTAAAGTCCCTCTCGAGAATTTTTCACTCATATGGAGACGCCGCCACCTGCCGGTGGAGGGCTGCAAATTTAGACCTATACTCGGCACTGAGGGCCATTGAGCAGCCAGGGATCTTTTTCGTGCTATAACACCTACTGCGACATGGGACCTCGGTTTATGTACGGTCTCATCCAAAGGACCGGTCTCTTGCGCGGATCAAAGGGGGGGGGGGGGGCTGGAATTTGCAGAATTATTGAAAGTACAGTCTGTATTTACTGAAGTAAATAAAAAATGACTTTGGACACCCCCCCCCCCCCCCTGGAGAACGTGTACCCCACCACAACCTTTTTTTTTTTTTTTTTTTTTTTTTTTTTTGCTTGTCAAGTACGAAAGCCTATTAGGATCAAACTACGGTAAAAAAAATTTAAAAGGCGTTATAACGCGAAAAAGGCGTAATAACGCCAATAAAGGCGTAATTACGCCTTTCCAAAAGGCGTTATAACGCGAAAAAAGGCGTTATTACGCCTTTCCAAAAGGCGTTATTACGCCTTTCTGAAAGGCGTTATAACGCCTTTCCAAAAGGCGTTATTACGACTTTCCAAAAGGCGTTATTACGCCTTTCCAAAAGGCGTTATAACGCCTTTCCAAAAGGCGTTATTACGCCTTTCCAAAAGGCGTTATTACGCCTTTCCAAAAGGCGTTATTACGCCTTTCCAAAAGGTATTATTACGCCTTTTCAAAAGGTTTTATTACGCCTTTCCAAAAGGCGTTATTACGCCTTTTAAAAAGACGTTATTACGCCTCTTTTTTTTCAATACATGACTTACTTAGCCCACCCTGGGGGCTTATTATAATTAGATTTCTAGGAAAAAAGATTTTTAAATGTGTAAAATATTTTCAGTGTTAAACCAACTTAGTCCTTCTCTGATGCCAGACGCTTCTACCAAGGTGTATGGATTTCAGAAATTTTGTTGAAGGCTAATTGCTCATTATACCTATGCAAATACTTTGCCTGTTTTTTTACCAAGAGGAGAGAAAAATATTTCAAATTTGACATGAATTTTTAATACGTGGCTAGCAAAGCCCAAAGCTGGTTCTGCCTATATCCTGGATTTTCAAAAGTAGAGTGTTGACTTCTCTTAATATGCATGCAAAATGCAAACAACTGTCTGCGAGATGTGCAGGAAAATAGAAAATACTATAATTTATAATATAATTTATATTATTAAAACTATAATGTAAATATTGCATAAATAAAGATGGCTTTGGTTCAATCTTTCATATATTTACTATTTTAAAATAACGCCTTTCCATTTTTGGATACAACTCCTTTTCAAACAGGCCGGTAGTACGAATGTGAGTGGGGGGGGGGGGGTCCCCACCCCACTTTTTGGGAGAATAGTCTTGCTATAGTTTAAATATAAAAAATCATTAATTGATTGCTTGGTCCCTTAACATTTTGTTGCAGTATGGTTAAACTCGGGCAAGTCATTGCATTTAAAAAAAGTTTTACCGAAAAATTAGAAAAAGTTTCCCCTCAAGTTTAGGCAGTTTATTTTTTTTCGGGGGGGTGGGGGGGGGGTTTCTTGTTTTTTTGTTTGCTTGTCAATTTTATTGGAACCCCCCCCCCCCACACACACACACTTTAAAAGCACGGGCCTGTCAAAGACATAATAATAGCCCTTCAAAAGGCGTAATAACGCCTTTTAGAAAGGCGTAATAACGCCTTTTGGAAAGGCGTTATAACGCCTTTTTAAAAGGCGTAATAACGCTTTTTGGAAAGGCGTAATAACGCTTTTTGGAAAGGCGTTATAACGCCTTTTGGAAAGGCGTTATAACGCCTTTTGGAAGGGCGTAATAACGCCTTTTATCGCGTTATAACGCCTTTTGGAAAGGCGTTATAACGCCTTTTAGAAAGGCGTAATAACGCCTTTTGGAAAGGCGTAATAACGCCTTTTGGAAAGGCGTTATAACGCCTTTTGGAAAGGCGTAATAACGCCTTTTGGAAAGGCGTAATAACGCCTTTTTTCGCGTTATAACGCCTTTTGGAAAGGCGTAATTACGCCTTTATTTGCGTTATTACGCCTTTTTCCGCGTTATAACGTCTTTCGAAAAGGCGTTATAACGCCTTTTATATTTTTTAACCGTAGTTTGATCCTAATAGGCTTTTGTAGTCAAGATATTTCTGGGAGAAAACTTTTTTGACTGGGGTAGACACCCCCCCCCCCCCCCGGAAAAAAATCCTGGATCCGCGCCTGGGTCTCCACGACCCGCAGTGGGATTCAAACCTGTGACGTAAGGATCAACTCCTTACACTGCGACTCTGTCTAGAGCAAATGCTCTAACCACTGCGCCACGCGGGCGAAGAGTGTTCTGTGTAGATATGCCATTTTTACAACAATATTCTGGAACTATATTTAAGGTACGAGGAGCCCCTGCGATCGCCATAGTAGGATGTCTAAGTTTAGCAGTGGAATTGAGGAAACTATCCTTTTTGAACGTAGATGAAGCATCCCGATTTATTGAGGATAAGTTGAAGTACTTGGTAACATCCAGACCAACAGCAGTCAACATGGACAAAGCAGCGAAATACTTCATAGAGAAAACAAAGTCATTAGCTAACAAGGGAGATAACTCTGTACAAAATATGATAGAAAAGTATGTTATTGATACTTTATAAAAATATGCAATGTTTGTAAAGGTTAAAAGTAATAAAAGTGTGATTTAATGAAATTTGGCTATTAAAGGTACTTCATCGGGTAGCGGGTAATTTAGTCATTATTTTTAAATAAACACCCATCAATTGCAAGATTGTCCTGAGAATTTTGTTTTACTTAAACAATAAAATGCTTTCTTTGGTTATTAATACGCAGCTGTCGCAGCTGTTGCAGAAAAAATACGTAAAATATATTTTTTAAAAAATATGTAATTTTTTTCTGCAATAGCTGCGACGTTAATTCCCGTACTAACAAAGAAAGAAAGACATTTTATTGTTTATATTTATATCTGCATTCAAAGTAAAATTAAATATGTTAAATATTGTGTTAGAGATGTGTATGCCATTGTATGCATAATCAATGGAACAGCCTTTGCTCAAGAAATCTATGCAGGTGGCTAGCTTAGTGTCGTTCACTGACTGATGAACGGCAATGGTTTTCATAAGAAATAAAGGAAATAATATTCAGTGGATATATATATATATATATATATATATACATATACATATACATATATACATATATATATATATATATATATATATATATATATATATATATATATATATATATATATATATATATATATATATATATATATATATATATGTATATATGTATGTATATACACCTGTAAATTCTTCATGTTTGTTGCAGATCTTTAACCTAATAATGTATTTGTTCACGTTTTAGAATAGTGACTGAAATAGAAGAAATGCTTCCAACAGATATTGCTGTGAATAAAACCCTGAGTAAATTTGGAGCAGATCACATATTGAACATCTACAACAAACCAGTTGATGTCCTAACACACTGCAACACGGGGTCTCTAGCGACGGCCGGATACGGAACAGCTCTGGGTATTTCTCAGTTTTTCACTAAATGAATTTGTAATGAAACTATCTGGGAATTCTTTTTAGTGAAGCTTGTTGTGAAAGAAAACCCTGCTTATACATGAAGGAAAGACTGAAAAATGGTTTTGGATTTGCCATTCGTATATCCAAGGTTGATTTGACGAGATGTGAAAGAATACAGCAGTCCTGTGCATATACTATACATGTACAAACTTATGAAGCATTTTTATTGTTTAAGTTTGCAGTACTGTAAATCTCTCTTATTTCGCGAAATCTTACTTTTTGCGTAAATGCATATATGTGATTTTTAAGGAATCACTGATCGGGAAGTTTCCTAAGTCTGACTGTTATATAAACAAGTTACCTCAACCTGAACAGTTTAGTGAATAAACACTACTAGTAATAACTTATCACCGTTCACAGTTCAAAATTAATAGAAAAGTAATAAAATTTTAACATGATTCTAATAGTTACCGATTGATTCAGGGAAATATTACATCTGTAAGTATATACTTGCCGAAACTTGAATCTAAGAACAATTGGCGAGTTGCAAGTCCCTCGTAATTATGCATCAATAAAGTCTCACATTGAAGTGTTTTACAGTAAATATGAATTTAATATATAAAAGGATGGTGCTTTTTTTATGCGTATGAGAAGGCTAATTAAATTATTTCTTAATCAGCATTGAATTCTTCATACGTATTTCAATTTTTTTTAGGTGTAATTCGAACCTTACAAGAAAGGAATAAACTGAATAACGTATACTGCACGGAGACTCGTCCGTACAACCAAGGGGCACGACTGACCGCTTATGAACTCGTGTACGAGAAAATGCCTGCCATTTTAATCTGTGATAGTATGGCGTCAATGTTGATGAAACGCAAAGGAGTATCGGCGGTGGTTGTGGGCGCTGATCGGGTGGTTGCCAATGGGGATACTGCTAATAAGATCGGAACCTATCAGTTGGCTATTGTAGCAAAGCATCACGAAGTACCATTTTACGTTGCATGTCCTTCAACTTCGTTTGACCCAAAGCTAAAGAATGGAGATGAAATTCGAATAGAAGAAAGACCACACGAAGAAATGACACACATTAAAGGAGTTTCTATCGCTGCACCAGGTACTCTTTTGAATATGTTCATGGTTTACGGGCCTTAGTATTGAAGGGTAGGCCCTATTCCTTCAGAAGTCTTTTTAAGTCTTTTTTTAGAATTAAATTTCTTTTTTTTTTTCCTTAAAAAAAAAAAACCCTCTGCGAGGTGAGAAGTAAACGTTGGTTTCGATTTTGGTTCTAGATCAATCCACAACAAGTTATAAAAGACAAACATGCATTACGATTTTTTTTTCAGATACCTATGTAAATTATTCATATTTCTGTTCACCTTTTAAGGAATCAATTGCTGGAATCCTGCTTTTGATGTGACGCCCGCTTCTTTGATAACTGGGGGGATCATAACAGAGTTTGGTGTGTTCAAACCCTCTGAGCTATTGGACAAACTAGAACCACTATTACAAAATCAGCAATTACAGAGTGGAAATTCCTCGTGACCAAGACGGATGTCACCTTATATGGTCTACAGATATCCATTGTACATTTCACGAAATAAATAACAAGGCTGAAAATGTTCGCCGTAAATATATTTGGTCGATTCATTTTCTTTGCGGGTGATATCCTGTATTGAGAGCGGATTAATGTATTTAGTACAGTGTAGTTTCCTTTGACATTTTACAGATTTTTAAAACAAAGAATCAATGACTCTTAGAATAATACTCTTCTGTTAATCAGATAAAACTAAATATATACAGGTATATATCTATAGCAATTAAAATATTTAAATGAAGAAAATTTTTCATTAAGTGATACAAGCAACAACAAAACAAAAGGAATGTCCGGATTGATAGATATTTTCAGACATCTTTTTGTTGTAAATGATGTAAATATTAAATTTCTAAAAGAAGATGGGTGAATAATAACGAGCGAAAAGCCTATAGAGTGACAAACATGAAGGTGAAAAATTAAATCTCAATTATATCAAAATTTTCCTTGATATTTCATCTAACATTAAAATATACTTTATAAAAAATCTCTACAATTTGCAAAAACCTCACGAAGATTGAAATTATTTGCCTATGAAATATTATACACACACTAAAGAGGGCAAAATGAGTCATTTTTTCATACTATAACACTATTTTTCGATATGAGTGGTTACCAAAAACATGGAGCAAACACCCACTACGTGGCCGTAGGAACCGCGGGGGGGGGGGGGGGGGGATTTTGCCGATATATAGATTACTACAGTAAACATTGATACTATATGCTTGTGCCCCCTCAATAAAAACGTCTGATGACTTTTTATTTTGCTTGTCAAGGAATTTCTGGTAGTTGATGACCTTGTTTTTTCTTTTGCTTGTCAGAAAATTTTTGGTAGTGCCCCCTCAACTGTCAACTGAAAATGTATGGCTGTGCCCCCCCCCCCCCCAACTGAATTTGCTTCCTACTGGCCTGCACTATACCTTAAAAATATACTTTTATGACATAACGTTGCATATTTTCGAGAAATACATTAAGTCAAGGGTCATATCACAAACATGATTTAAATGCCACAATTCATCAGTGCGTGTGTGGTGTAGTGGTTAGCTTGATAGTTTCGAAAGAAAATGATACACAGGATTTTTATTGCTAGGGTTCGAACCCCACGAGTACCACATTATTTTTTAATAAAAGAATAAATTCTGCAGAGAAAATTTTCCTCAAAAAAGTTTTTTGTTTATCATAATTTCATAAACTTCAACAGTGAGATACAAAATTCACAAACTGAACCTGATTTTTAAATATCTGACGATAAAGGCTTTCTGCACGCTATGTTCACCCACCTCCTTTAAAAACTGTAAACTTTCTATCAAAATTCTACATATCTGCTGTTACCCTTGCAAATCTATACAACTTTTCATCACTTTATAAGACATTATTGTGAAAATTTGAATTAAAAATTAAAATCTATGCGGCAAAACTTATTCATTTTTCTTATATAAAATGGCTTTAGTTGTTATTTTTATGATTTTTTGATTGTTTGTATCATTTGTCCTTAAGACAATGACGACTTTAATTTTTGCTTATGGCGTATCTCATTTCATATTTTATAGATTGTCTAGAGATTGGGAAGGGGATTCGAAAAGTAAATTACAAAAAAAAATTGAATGACAAAGTCCCATTATATTCTGAAATTTAACAGTCATTTTTATATGTAATTAGAAGAAAACTATGTCCTTATATAGTACCTTTAACAAGTGTTCGGATATTTTAAAGATTCTGGTACTAAATCCAAGGATAATTGACTGTTAAACCACGGCTGAAGACAAAGAAACTTGTTTCAGTAAGGTGTATGTCATAAAATGTATTGAACACTGGTTGATAAGATATGATGTTTTTTATTACGTGCCTCCATCAATGCATCCCTCATATAATGCTGTTGAGGGATATTTAGAAGCATTAAATGATGTCCAGAATGAGTCATCGCCACAAAGACGAGCTTATTTTGCTATAAACTATCCCTCTATATGGGTACACGAGATTTTATGGTCAAAAATCCCATTGTTAGACTATATTTATATGGAGAAATCAACAGCACAAAAATGATTCTGACTATCGATCGCTAGAAAACGAAAAACACGGTCAGCTTCCAAACACATTGCACCAGCTCCAAAATATGGATTCGTTTTCAAGATCCCGAGATAGATAGGTGTAAATCAGACCGGTCATAGGGAGGATGTTATCTGAGATTTCCTTGATTCTTGAATTATTTTCAGCGTTAATATATGGTAAGTTTAATCATTTTCTCTTTAAAATAACTTTTTGTATTTTGGGGCAACTGTTCGCATAGTGCTAGTTTAACAGATTGGAGCCAAAGCACACTTCTATCTATCTTATTGAGACTGCGTCGTACAATAGTCGTGAACAGTCATATAAAAATATTTTTTAGAAAAGAGAAAAGATTTCAAAGAATGCGTGTCCCTTAAATTGCTGACTAGCTGTGATAAAGTGCGAATCACCTTTTAGTCCTTGATACAAAGTGTGAATCACCTTTGGTCCTTGGGACAAAGTGTGGATCACCTTTGATATTTTAAGTATGGATCACCTTTGGTCCTTGGTACAAAGTGTGGATTTTGATCATCCTTTGTCCTTGGTACAAAGTGTGGATCATCCTTTGGTATACTTGGTACAAACAAGAGCCATAAAAGGTATCATTTGTACATGTTTCAGAGTAAGAATTGCTTCGTTGCAGTTTCATTACGTCATTGCAGTTTGAAGTGGCACTAATAAATCAGATTTAGAAATTGATTAATAATTATAAATCTTACTTGTTCAGTGTCCATTGGGTACTTCTTTCTTTCGAACAAAATGCGATTTTTATATTAAGAACTCTAGTTCTCAGAGACAAGAATGTTGGCGAAACAATGAAGTTATTCCCAAATGGCCCACCCACAGTAGAATTTATACACAAGTACTATAATAAATCTTATAAAACCCCTCTTATTCAACAATTATTTTGTATATTGCAGGGATGTTTTACAGATTAAAGATTCAATTGCTTAGATGCAAAGCTCTCGATTGAAAGGCCCAGTTGGCACTAAGTACCTTTGTCATACGCGGATCTAGAGGGGAGTCCGGACCCCCCCCCCCCCCCGGGATTTTCAGAGTTATAAAATTTTATGTAAAGTAACGAAAAAAATTCCTTGGACACCCCATGTAAATGGTAAGAAAAGTCATGTATGTGAAGAAAATGAAATAGTATACTGTTATTTAATGTCTGATCAGTCAATAGACCAGAATATTTTTCCCCGGGTGCTGGGAACAGCTCAGTGTATTCTATTGCCCGAGGCAAACGCCTCAGTTGTATTAGGTAATAAATGAAGATAATGAACAGTGAGCGATCTAAAAAAAAAATACAAATCTGAAAACGGGACATAAAACTGAGACCTCTGGGAAACATCAAAGGTGGGATCAGGTGCCTAGGAGGAGTAAGTATCCCCTTTCGACCGGTCACACCTGCCGTTAGCCCCATGTTTTGATAAGACAGACGGAGTACTCCATCGTCAAATTTAGCAATGACCTAACAAATGGTGAAACGTGTCAGACAAAATACGACCCAACGACAGGTTGTATTTACACACAAGGTCACCCCACCCACACACACACAACACACGAAAAAGAAAGATGTTTTTTCACGTTTAGGTAAGTTGGGTTTTTAGTTGCTTGTCAAAAAGTTTCAAAGTCAAAAATTTCCCCCCTTCCCTCCTGGAAATAATTTTACTCGTGTACTTGTGTATTGAAAAAAACAACTATAAATTGAAGAAAACAAAACAAACAAACAAAAAACACGAGTTTTAATTAATGTATTATAATTTTCAAACCAATATTAATGATCCCTAAAATGTCACTAATTTTCCCAATTTTAACGACTCCAGACCCAATACCAAAGTGTGGTGTAAGCTTCGTAGATGACAATAGACAAAGAAATTAAAAAGTTTTACTCTATGACTAGAAATGATAATTTCCTGTTTCTCAGGACTGACGACGGACGGGTGCGAGGATGGATGGACGTTCTATAAACACTTGTGCTACCAAATAAATCTAGATCCATACGGACTCAGTCAAAAGGAAGCCGGCGCTGTCTGTGTGTCGAAGAATGCGGCTCTATCCAGTATATGGGACAAGAAAGAAAGTCAATTCATTGCCCAAGAGTTGCTCAGTGTCAGTTAAATTACTTTATTGAAGGAAAAAAAAATAAAATTATATTTTCAATACAGACTTTCTATATACATTGCACAAAATACTCAAAAAAGAGTTTGATAACTGAGCAAACAATATGGGTAATATATAATGTTTTGACATAAAAATAACTTATTGTGTGTTGTAGATAACTAATGCCAATCGCGCATGGATTGGTCTGAAGCAAGAGAAGCGGGAAAATAGGTACGTCTGGACCTGGGTTGATGGATCTATCGCAGACACCGCAAGCTGGAAATATGGTATATTCCTTACGAAATATGACTGAATTTAGTTGTTTAAGCGAATATAAGAAGCCAAGGTTTCTGTGTGACTAACTATTATTAAAATGACTCAAAGTTATGTTTTTAAAAACTTCAAAATCTATACAAGGTGTCCATGTTATTTCAGGAGACACAGAGGACACTGTTGGACTGTGTGGAACCATCCTCCGAGATGGAACTCTGGACCTACAGAACTGTACGGAATCCATCCAGTTCTTTATATGCAAGAAAAGTGAGTATAGAACATTACCATCAACATTACAATATCATTTTTCTCGTTATGTATGTTTTAAACGTCTTATTTTTCCCTCGTTCTCGTAGATCTTAAAATGTGGTATGTCGTCAGTGACATATTTGAAAATGAATACCGTGATGAAGATTTCAGTAAGGAACCACAGAAGTTAATGTTTGAGAGGGTGTGGACTCCAAAACTGGAATACGTTCATGATTATCTGAAACACCTAGCCCAGACGACGGTCTCCAAGGAAACGGACTGCGCATATAAATGCTTCCGGGCTGATGCATGCAGGGCTTTTTCCATCCAGTGCAAAGTCAACTGGAAATGTGAAAAGTATGACTGTGAAGTTTACCGTCCAATTACTTTATGAATAAAAATCATTTAATTTGACTTTTTAAAATAAACTGATTATTTCTCTTATTTTCTTATTAATTACTATGAACAAAAAATGTTATTTTAAATGATAATCTTACACTGTAATTTTAATAAATAAATCTATTGCATGTACATGTATGTCAAGCGATTACTTTTACATATACATCATAATTCTATATACATGTAAGAATGTGTAAGCTTATTTGCTTGTCATAAATATACATACATTTAAGACATTTGGATACAAATTTTAAAATGCTCTTTATTGAGCTAGTTTTTAGTTTAATACTACCAGGATGATTTAATGTATGGATGAAAATTTCATATATACATAAAATAAGCATTTCTTATTAATAATTGTCAAAATAATGAACAATTGGGCTTCCGGTCCGATGAGGTTGTCTTTTCCGGATCGGTTTTATCCCCCGGGGTTTCCTGTTAATGAAGAGCGAAATTAAAATGTTCTTCTTGTTGTATGTACGGACAGGTACCACAACACGGATCCTGGCACTTGGTCACATGAAATTCTGTCGTTTCTTTAAAAGAGGACTTGGTGAGAATTCGTCTGTGATTCTTTGGCTGCCTCTGTTTATGAAATTTCGGTTTTTAAATATTTTAGACATACCGGTAGTTTCATCGGTTTTCAAAACGTCGTTTGGGTAATAAACAATTGGTGCAACGTTTTTATTTTGGGGATTATGAGTCGTTACTAATGGTAGGATCTTGGAATTTGTCCTGTTTTATTGCACAGAGTTGAAGAGGTCCTTTCTGACTAATTCCACGGCTTTTCTAATAGAATCGGAATGGAATACTCGGAATCTCTGGTTTTATCCTTCATTTATAACCCCAACCAGAAGCTTTTGTATCCCATTCAAAGTCTAATTTTGTATCGAGGTAATTTTCGAGGAAGAAAGGTTAATGATTGATATACATGTATTAACAAAATACGAGCTTGAGGCGGGGGTGCCTGAAATTGGGTTAGGTTACCTTGTCCATCTCTGACTGTGCCTCGGGTGGGATTACGGCTGTGCGGAATTTATAGAATTTAACACATATGCGGAAATATACGAAAAGTTTTAATAACAATTTACACAAAGTCCGAAAAGTTGATTCACATAGTAATTTATGATAATTCCAAAAAGGTCATATTTTACTCTGTAACACACAAAGTCCGAAAAGTTAATTCACATAGTAATTTTTGATAAATCCAAAAGAGGTCTTATTTTACACCGTAACACATGCTCCGCATTCGCATAAAACACGTCCTCGTGTTTTTAATTTTCTTTCAATAAAACAGGCCTCTTCTTGGTCTTCCTTGACATCTCCGGCATTGACAACGGCGTTGGTTTTCTAAAAAGACAGATTCTAGATGATCTCTTTCATCCTGCAATGCTTCGATGGTCTGCAGCAGAGCGTTTTTTTGTTCCCTTAACTGTTTAGTAGTCTTTTCGGCTACCTTTTGAATTTTCATGACAAATTGATTATGCTCATTACCGATTTCTTTTAGTTTCTTTTGCATTAGATTCATAATGACTGTCACCGTTAGCTGTCTTCTTCTAATTTTTGAATTTTCTTGAGATAAATCTTAATTATTGTTAGAGTTGGTTGATTGTTGTTTTAGTTTCTTTTTCATTTCCGTATTGTCGTTTTGTAATTTTCCGAGTTCAGACTCAGCTGTTTTTAATTTAACTATTATACTTCTTTTCTGTTCATTACACACGTGTAGTTGCTTTTTCAGATGTTTTAGCTCATTTCGCAATGTACAAGAGGTATCACAATATAATCGAAACTGACTGTCTCTAAGGGAATTAAATGGTAGTTCTCGCAAAGTTCGTTTGTTTTCGAGATACTTGCTCTGTCATTTCATGTCTGGCGCTCTTTTTCTGCTAGGGACTGGTCTTTCTTCGAGGGGTTTTGGTTCTACTTTCTTCATCTGTGTAAAACACATTCTGGAATAATGTCCAATTCTGTGAGATCGGTAACACTTCTGGTTAAACGCGAAACATAAAACGTTGGGATGCACGTTTCCACACCTTCCGCACACTGGATGCTGACATGAAGGGAAGTTGAACTTCTGTCTCCACTGCGGTCGGAAAGAATATTCCATTGCTGGTCCTAATACGTGTACGTCTGCTTCATCTGTATCAGCACTGTCAAAATCTGGGGAAACTCGCTATTTGGCTTTTGTAGAAGTCCAGGATCTGACTACTACAAAGTATATGTAGCAGTCCCGGGTGTCGTTACCTCCAACCAAGTATTACGGTATGAATTTATCCTTCTAATACTTACTCTGGGCCAACCCTGAGTTTTCCTCTTATTGTCGAACCTAGATTCATGAAACCTCAAACGAGCCAACACGCTTTATAGTTTTTGTACTTTTATATAGAATTAGCATGGAATATATTTACATGAATTTGGGATGTTTCAGCACCGAAGGTCTGATTCCAACTGACTATAATTTTTAACAACAAAACACACACACTGAACAAAGATAGGACCGAGGTACCTATAGTTTGAAAAGGTGGTGGGATCTTTACTAATTAATTTCAGGCCCGTAGGAAGCAATTTCAGTTTGGGGGGGGGGGGGGGCACAGTCAAACATTTTTCAGTTGACAGTTGAGGGGGCACTACCAAAAATTTTCTGACAAGCAAAAAAAAAAAAAAAAAAAGGTCATCAGGCGGTTTTATTGAGGGGGCACATGCTTATAGTATCTATGTTTACTATAGTAATCCATATATCGGCAAAATTATTGGGGGGGGGGGGGCACGGCCCCCCCCGTGCCCCCCCGGTTCCTACGGCCATGAATTTATCCTTTCTTCTATAATCATATACTTGGTACTATTATTAAAACTGACAAGCTCTGCAATAAACCAGCAAGTTTTTTCGAGATTTAAAATTTTTATTTTCTTTCTAACATCATTACACCATGTATACCTACACCATATGTAGAAATTGTGTGCAATTTATTCATGAGATTGCTTGCACGTGATTTATGCTTATTAATATTCATAAGATACTGCATATACTCGAAATTCCATTTATTTAAATTTTTATGCTGAAACCTGCAAGCCTGTTTTGTTTTGTTTTTTCTTCATGCCTCCGTCATAGTTATATGGGTAGAATTTTGTGTGATTAACAGCTGAAGACTCAGGATACCGTTTTTCAGATATAAAGTAGGTCACACCGATGCAAGAAATTGCCATTTTCAAATAAAAAAGGCGGTCGTAACTCCTCACGAAATGGTAATTCGTGTGTATTTTATGAAAATAGGGTCCCTCCTGCACCTCTTAATCGGCGGAAGAACTCTATCAACTTGCTATAAACACTTACATTTCATCATCAAAAATGATAAAAACACAAATTATGTACTCTTTCCTTCATTAAATATACTCTCGCTTCGAATTTTCAAATTAAAAAGGCGGTCGCAACTTTCACTTTGGTATCAACAGTCTTGTCATTTCCGGTAGAAGATATTAAGAAGAATCAAACCATCGGCGGAAGAACAGTTTCTCATCTCGCTATCATTGAATTGTCGCATATGACGTCACAGCAGTATGGCGCCGAAATCCGATTGAAATATGCATATCGCCGTATTTGAATTTCAACTCTAAATTTCTCTTAGAATATGCTTACAACAACCTTTATCTTATTCAATATTTTAATAAACAAGGTTGTAGATAATATTTTTCATAAAATTACGGATTTTTTTAAAAACATGGGACAAGTGTCAATAAATATAAACAGAAGTCAATTAAGTGTCCATCTCTGACTGTGCCTCGGGTTGGATTTATAAGGCTGTGCGGAATTTATAGAATTTAACACATTTGCGGAAAAATACGAAAAAGGTCATATTTTACACTGTAACAGTACACACAAAGTCCGAAAAGTCAATTCACATAGTAATTTATGATAATTCCAAAAAGGTCATATTTTACACCGTAACAGGTGCCCCGTATACGTTACGAAACAAGTGCCTATGGTTAGCGCCCTTCATTTTCGCTTTGATTTCACCCAGATTCTTTACTTTAACTATTTTAGTCCTACTTTCTAATTCAAACTTAATTTCAAGTTTACAACATCAAAAATACACACATTCATAATATAAACTCAAAGTCAACGCAGTTGTGTTTTCGTATCTACATTCTAGGAAGTCGGAATATTACCTACTTACATATGTAGACCATGAAACTGATACGATTGCAAATTTGGATCTACAAACTTACAGGTCTGGATTTTTGAACACGATTACCCTCCATAATTTTCATTATATGTTAACCTACTGTTCAGTCATATATACCTGGCTACAACTACTGCACTAACTGACAATAATACTAGTACCTGGTATTAAGTCGGGGGGGGGGGGGGGTGCAACTCTTCAAAAATTTCAAAAATTATTTTCAACAGACTTTGCTCACTATGCGTTTGTCCTAGAGCTTAATTCAAGTAGGCACTTGATGTCACTTTTTCTCTATCACAAATAATAAAATCATGTCTAATTATACTAGTAGGCTAAAACATAACGGTATAGTGTTATTTTGTAATACTAAAAAAAATATAAGACTTCAATACCCGTCGGGCCCTTTACCCAAATGGCTACCATCTGTTTTGTAAATAATGAGCTAGATAAAATGGGGGGGGGGGGGCGTTTATACGGGCAAGAAACAAGAAGTATTTCCTATTTAGGAAAAATACTGAACTTCAAAATTTCCTGATGAGCATATTTTTACATGGGAAGGGATACAAACTATAATATAAGAACTTGAAAAAGGGGATCTAATTCTTAATTTTCTGTATCTCTTTTGTGAAGATCTTTCATAAAAGGAAGGGAGGTCAAACTTTTATTAAGGCCCTGGCTAAACAGCCTATACATTTACATTTGTATTTGTATATACTAGATCACTACTGTATATACTAAACGCACTACATAAAATCACATATAAATATATCTAGAGTAAAATATCTTTTGATATCTTTAGCCCCCCCCCTCCCCAATACCATGCCATAAATCACAAGGCATGT